GACATCTATGAAGCTTGGACCATGGCCTCACTAAACGACTTTCCCCCCACTTTAGCCTACAGTGAGGCCCGCAACCCCCACTCTCCGAACTTAACTTACGTGAGGAGAAACCGCGACTCGAATTTTCGCCCCCCTGCCTTCTTCACCAAGGGTCTTGCCATCTGAGCTGACCTTTCTTTGCTTTCGAAGAGCTCCCAGCGTCCTTCATGGTGAGCCGCTTGGCCTCCTTCGAGGTCTTGAAGAGCTTGAGTTCCTCATCTAACTTGCCAGCCTTCTCTAGCAGGCGCCCCATCACCAGAAATTCCAGAGACTCAAACTGAACCTCCACCCGGTTCGATGCGCTAAAGTCGTCAAAGCGCTCGTTGGTTAGGTCGTCAGCCTCCTGATTCTGCCAGCGAGGGACCCACTGCAAGTCCAGCTCAATGCCCCGCCTGTCCAACTGCGTCGCCAACTCCATGGCCACAATGCTCAACGGATATTTGCTGCTGCCAAACTTCCGCAAGACATGTGTATTGCCCAGATTGTCTGTCAGAGCCGACAGCGTCACGGTCGCATCGCCCGCCGCCCACTCGGCTCCCGGCGATAGCACCATCACCGCTGCCAAAACACCTATCAGCTCGAGCGTTGCAATCGAACGAAACGGATCCCCTTTCAGGTAGGCCCAAGCCGCATTCTTCCTGTTGAGCCGGAAGGAAAACCAGCGCGCTACGGCGGGGTCCGCCCTCCTCCACGTCTCCCAGCCTCCGATGACAATCTCCTCACCTGCCGCCTTGGCGTCCACTCTGAAGATGTCGGTGGGGCTCGTCGACAGCGGCTCAAGCCCTCTGGACGGCTTCCTGGAAACTTCTTCCTTCACAAACTCCAGCAGGATGATCACGGCATCCGGGAAGCTCGCAAAGGTGCCGCCTGCCAAGGTCGAAGACCACGAGAACAAGGGCGCCAGGAAGGGGCGTACATGCCTCAGCGCCCCCGCCACGAAAGAAAGCCTGCCGAGGACGGACTTGAGCTCGCGTCCAACCACGCCTCCTTTCGCGAGCTTGTCTTCTATCCACCTCTGTATCCACTCACGCTTGGAGTTGTTGATGCCCCGCTCGAAGGTGGACACATTCAGATAGTAGCCTATCCAGTTGACTTCTGCACCTCCCCGCACCTTAGCCCAGGTAATCGGGATCTCTAACAGCTCATACAAGAAGAGCCACATCAATATCTTCTTCCAAAAGCGAGGCCCCGTAGCCGTCAACCAGCCGTCATCCGCATAAATCAAATGAAGCAAGCCCATGTGTCTGCCCATAATGCGGTGACAAGAACGCACGACCACACCGATGGTCCTGCCGAACCAGTAGGCCGCACTCGCAATGCCAAAAGTCCCCCTCGTGTGGACAAAGACATCTCCTGTCGACTCGCCCGGCAGTCTGAAGGCCTGGAGGCCCCAGTCCTCCTCCCTAACCGGGATCAACTTGTGGGCCCTTGCAATGTCGTAGAGCACCGACAGCCTGACCACCTGCTGCTGCTCCCTCTTCTCCTCCTCAACCTGACGTAGAACTGCTGCTGCGTCATCTATAAGAGGGAAACGCATGCGGTCTCGGACCCTGATGCGTCTATTGACATCGACGCTGTAGGTGCCATCGTGGATAAGGCGCACCTTCGTCGTGCCCAGCTCTTTCGGAACCGCCCCTAGGGCCGCCACGGCGAGCCGACCGCCGAAGCGCTTCCTCGCCTCCTCCTCCTCCGACATCCTCAAGATCGTGCCCTTTTGCACCTCCTCCAACACCTGCCTCTTGATGTCCGTCGCATTCTCCTCGGCCGAGGTGTAGTTGTCAGCCAGAGTGTCGTGGAAGTCTTCTTCTGTTGGCTCAACCGTCCACTTTTGCTTCTCCTCAAACACCAACGGGATTCGAGGCATCTCCTCATCGACCCCCAGCGACACCCCTTTCGCTGCCACCTCCGACAGAAAGACCCAGTCCTCATCCTCCAGAATCTGTGCCACCGCTCGCAACCTTCTGAAGTTGATCTCCGACTTTCTGTCCGATGTCCTCCGGCGAGGATCTACTCCACGCTCCTTCAACCATAGATCCAGTCTCTCCCTGAAGCCAAAGATTTCTCCACCGAACGGTGTGCCTCCCAACTTTCCGCCTGCAGTCTCCCAGAAGAGCTTCTTGGCCCTCTCCTCGCCCTCCAGCTCAACCCAGTCTTCAAACGCCTTCAAGCACCACCTGGAGAGCTCCTTGCCCTTTTCGGTAGAAGGTGCTGTGCGGCGCCCTACCGGCCACCTCCCCGGAGAACACAGGCCAGCCCCGTCGTGGATCGACCTCAGCTCACCTTTGTACTTGGTCTGCATGGGCGGGCCCACACCGGGCCTCATAACCAGTCGACCGCTAGCCACTGAGCTGATCAATGTTGCTTTGTCGACCTGCTTACCGCCAACTGCATTGCTCAATGTTGCTCTGTTGTCACTGCTCGACGCATCGCCGCACCGACTGCTCAATGTTGCACTGTTGCACCCTGCATTGCTCAATGCACCACTGCCACTGCACGATGTTGCACCGTTTCCCCCTGCGCTGCCCAACACTGCTTTGTTGTGAACTGCGCCGCCTGTTCGGGCCCTCGTCTGGCGAGATCTCGACCTCTCCCGCGCCACCTCCCTCGTCCTTTCCACCCCCTCTTTAGCTGTAGAGGGAGTGGCCTGCAGGTCATGCAGGATGGCTGTAGCAATGGCTTTGTCCATAGGTTCTGGATAGATGGAGGTAGCTGTGGTACGGAAAGTGTCATCCGTGGAGGAACGTGCCAGCGAGATTGAAGGTGAGCATGTGCATAGTGTAACTGCAGGACCCAAGTAGCGACCCTGAGTATCAAAGCTTGGCCAGGTGCCTGGTCCCCAGGAGCGAAGGGGAGTCAAGTTAGTAAGCAATCTGGTAGGCTTGCGATAGGGTGCGGTCCAGCAGCACTGATTGAAAACAACAGTGAACAAGCGTAGTGGGTTGCCTCCCCGTGCAAACTGCCGAATTGCATCCAGTTGCCAGATGGAAGCTGGAATCATCTTCATATTGTCTTCTTCTCTCCAGATTGCACCCAAATCTTCAGGATGCTCTCCGAAGAGTAGCACCAATCGACCATCATTGGAGAGTGGATGATCTTCCAACACTTGGAGGACGTCGAGCATAAAGTAGATCAAGGTATTGCCCAGGTCTGCGTCTTTCTGATGCCGCTTTGAAAGCCATGGGTAGCCCCATGGATACTCACTTGACCGTATGGGAGGCGGCCCCCGGCAATTGGCACCGCGGACCCGGGACCACGTGGAGCATGGTGGAGTGATCAGCACCACGTGATAGAGTCCCTGCTTGAGTTCTTGAAGCAGCTTTTGCTGTAACGACTTGTCTGTCAAATCCCAATCTGGTGAATTCTGAATGTCAACTTCATGCACCTCGAAAACGATCTGTACTTGCTTGGCCTCTGCTTGCAAGAACGAAGCCACCGATGCTTTCCTCTGGGCTCCGCTGAACAAATAGAGGACCTTGCAGATTCGTGTGCCTCTCGTTGTGTCCTTCATAGCCGGAGGGGGCGAGGCCACCCCCTCCTCCGTGCTCTTTCAAGCCGCTTTGGTGGTGTCAGCGGCTCCTCCCGCTGTATCCTTGGTCTTCCCCGAGCCATCGCATGCGTGTGCCGGGTGACTGCCGAAACAGATCTGACACACATGCAGGCGGCCACATTGATAACGGCAGCGCTCCTTTGGATTGTTCCGCTTCCAGCAGATTCGCCGACCGTCTGGTGTGCGGTCACGATGCTGCCGGCCCTTCTTTCCCTTTCCTTTGCCGCCCTTCTTGCCTTTGCCTTTGCTCTTCGACGGCTCGTAGTGATCTCCTCCCCAACTGTGCCATGGCCTTGGTGGGCTCCTCGACCTGGCGTAGTCGGTCTTTGTGTACTCGCCTCTTGAACTGCTCGAAGAATGGGTCACCTGGGAGTACACGTTGGGTGTGAGGAAGTACCTCTCTTTGATTGTGGTATCTGTCATAGCCTCCTTGAGTGCCTCGCCGATGTTGGTGCCCTCGTTCACCAACTTCACCATCTGTCGACGAATTTGGAAGTCGTACGACAACATCAAATCGAAGTCCGGGCTTGCCACCACCGCCCCATCTTTGTCTCTGGCCTTGAGGCCAAGAACATGGTCACCCAGGAGCAGATCTAAGTACTTGAGAAAGTGTTGTGGCTGTAAATCCTTCAAGCTTGCTTTCTGGGGATACTTCAATTGCGCCAGCAGGTATGCATGCGACACCACTGCCATCCGCTTTCTGAATTCCTCCGGCGACCTTGGCTTTTGGCATTCCCCGTATCCCTTCTTGATCTTCAATGTCCTGGTGCCTCTTTCTACTGTTGCGCCCAGGATGTCAGCCTCTGCATC